TTGCAGACATGAAATCTGACAGCGACCCGGAGTCGATTAGGGCTCGAGCGGGTTGCTCGTTCACTTGCACGACTACCACGACAGGTTCCGGAATCAGGCGAGAAAAATCTCGAGGGGCGGCTGCATTGCGCTGCAACGCCTCAAGGTTGCCTTCCGATTCCGTACCGTGAGTCCTTGGCCTCACTGCAAACAGCGGGATGGGCGGACTGATGCGAGGGCGTGGTTTGCGCGTGAACAGGACTCGAAACTCGCCTGCCAGGTCATCAAGCTCAAAGGCCGGGGCCGCGAAAAGCCGTCGGACGTGCCGAGCGAAGTAGCCCAGCAGGTCGAACCTAGGGTTCAAGAGGAACTTGACCGGTATTGACAAGGTGCGTTCGAGGTACATATCCCGCACCGTAACGTCGTCGTAATACTGAACCACCATGTGCCGGGGTGGATAGAACGCGTTCAAAGGGTCCTCCGGCCACGGATGGTATTCTTCAAGAATATGCTTGACCTCTAGAGCGAGCGCATCCCCCATGAGACAGAACTCGGGTTCCCCTCGTGCGAGGAAACAAGCTTGATGGTCCGGAGACTTCTGCTCTACTACCCGTTGCCGGTAATAGCGCACTACGTCGAAATCGGGGTCCCGTAATTGGGACGTTTCTACTAACACATCGTCCATATTCCAGTGAAAAATCACGTACAAGTCTTGCGAGGTACGATACACATGAGGTGAGGGTTTACCTCCCTTGTCGATATCCGCGTCGTGACAACAATAGGGCCCGTTGAGTTGCAACAGGTACTCAGCATGAGCCGCGTATAGGTCGCCTACGCGACACTCTCCGTGTCGAATGAGCGGTAGCTCAAGTCCGAAACCGGGATCGATTCTCCGGACCGGACTCAAAACAGGAACTTCCCCGTTCGCCTCATCATCGAAGTAACCGACAGGAACGTGGCCGTCAGCCTCGTCTTCCCACTCGGTGAGTACAGAACCCTCTGTGTCGGACCAGTCCGAATTTTCAGATTCTGAGGAGTCACTGACTGATTGCAAGTCAGGCATGTCGTCCCAGGAGGTCTCGACATAGTGCAAATCAATGCCGGCCGACGTCTCAGTGGTGGCGGCCAGCTCCCTGAGTTGTTCAGCCAGAGAGTGGCCTCCGATTTCCACGCTGTACGAGGTGAGTCCAGGAGGTTTTCCCTTCTTGTCCGACTTGACCAGGTTGGCTTTGGGGCACGCATTCGCATAGTGACCCGTTTCCTTACACAGGAAGCACTTGCCTTGCTCCCGGAGCTCAGCACGTTCCCGGCTCGAAAGCCGGGGCTCGTTCTGGGTGCGAGAGGATCGCTTGACTCGCCCAGACGATTTCTCGCCCTTGTCCGGCCTGGCTTGGTGAGTTCTTCCACCATTATGTCCTTGAGAGCGGCGCCGATCGTCCTGACGATTCTCGCGATCGTTACGATGCGGGTATGACTTCTGATGGCCCCTGGTGCGCGAGGGGCTTCGGTTGTCTCGCTTACGGCCTCGAGGTTCGTTTCCGGTGCGAGAATAACGACCTCGGCCTACTTTATCGGCAATCTCGATAATTTCGGCGGCCTCTCTGACCTCAGACCAGGTAGACGTGGTAGGGGTGAGTTCTTTCTTCCACAATTCGCGCTGTATGCTCTCATTCAAGCCGTTCCACAGCTTATCCACCCGTTCTCGTTCCGAGACGAACCCTACGAGTAAAAACAAGTTCTCGAGCTCGTGAACGTAGTCGCGTACGCTACGTCCTCCCTGGTAAGTGTTCCGCAATTTCTCGCGCATCTGCAGGCGATAGTCGACTGGAAAACAGTAATTGAACAGTTCTTTGAACAGGTCTTCCAGCGTCCACTCGGCGGGGTTGTTGGACACGGTGTTGACCCAGAAGGTGTAAGCTCTTCCAGTGAGGAAGTTGGATATCGTTGAGGCGTACATTCGTGAGTCTACAGTGTACCCACGAATATACTCCACACACTGACGCATGAATTTGTGGAATGTCTGAGCATTGGCTTCTCCGCCATACTTCTCTGGCCGCTCGGGTTTGAGCAACGGCTTTTTAGTACGCTTCTTCTTCTTCTTACGGGACTTACGTGAAGTTCGGTGAGAGCTCGTAGACTCGCTCTCTTCCGCAGAGCTTGCATTGCCGCCTTCCGAGGGTTCGGAAGAGGATGAGGATGGGCTCCCCGAGCTATCAGACGGATC